CGCGTAATTGGAGTAAATCTTCTCGATTTAATAGCGATATCATTAAAACTAATACTTTAATTATTTAAATAATACATAATATGATATTTATCATTAAATCAAGAAGATTTACTTCAAACTGCTGTTGGGAATTTTGTTGATGCAATAGTATTTTTTTTTTTCGTTCAGAAATACTACAGAAATTGAAATAAATTATATATTGAAATTGATGAAAAAATTCACAAAGATAATACGTTGTCATTTTGTCCATAAAAAGATATATTCACAGGCGATAAGCCGGTATAATGAGCCGCCTCGCGCAATACGCTTTATTTCGGCGAAAAGGACGCATCTTCAAAGAGTGAAAGGTGTCCTAGCGCGAAAACGCTTCAGAGAGACGTGGACATATGGCAGCCGAGAGCCGGAGTGTGCCGCTCCTTTCCGCTTGACTCGCACAGCACAGGGGTCTGCTTCCGAAAAATCGTTCCCTTTTTTATTTTCTTTTACCTTTCTTTTCTGTCTACCCTCACCTTCATGTCCCCCACATGGCCCGCTGATACTCGGAGCGTACGCGCGAATAACCAGATAATTATCGCGTCGTGGTTCGAGAAAATCCGCCGGTTTTGTGTCACGCGTCGCTTATTGTGGCAAAAGTTTCGCAAACTCACCGGCTAAACGGAAATTTCGCGACGCGATATATATTCGGCGTTACTGTGCGATACTCCACAACAGACCGTGCGAACATTTCCACCTGTTTTATTAAAGAGGCGCGTGTAGCTACGCGTTTCAATAAAGCAATCGCGCGGCGTGTCTCCGTGAATACCGAGGAACAAATATAAAAGAATCTTAAATAACACTTTCTCACAACTGTCAGCTAGAATTGTATCGCGACATAATTCACGCGAATAATCGTCCCGCGTTATTTGTGCTGTTTATGCAGAATGAAATTAATGACTATTGAAGGATAAGGGAAAGCGTAAAATAATCGCGATTGATTGATCGGTCGCACGAATTTCCCGTGATAAATAGACTGGCTCATGCACCCCTCCGTGCAACTTTCTCTCTTTTTCTGTTTGTTTTCTATATAAACTTAATTTTCTTTCCACTCGAAGAAAATATTGTGGTAAAAGTTACTACAAAATTTTGTAATACTAGACCACGATCGGAATTATGACTGAAATTATTACGTGTATTGTAATCTTTAATAACGTGTACAATGAAGTACACCACTAAAGATTACAACACACATAATTTCAGTTATAATTCCGGCATCAATATTACAAAATTTCGTGCCAACTTTTGCTACAATATTTTCTCCGTGCATTTTCAGCTGAGTTTAACAGTAAAACTTTCGTTACCATCTAATTTTACTCATGTAATTTTTCTTCTTTCTTATTTTGTACCTTCAACTATCATCTTGCATATACAATTTATCTATGTATCTTTAACATGCAATTAATGTGTAAATTAATGTGTATACGATTATTTTGTTCGTCTTTAGAGGAAAAGTCTTAGAATGACAATAAACGTTTCCTTCCCCCGCTCTCTCACTCTTGACATTTCCATTTTTGTTTCCCTCCTTATTAGTATCCGTCGCTCGTTTCTCGTGGTGCTTTTTTTAGAATCAGTCGTGCCGATACTTCCGACTGCTTGTAAGTGTCGACGCGAGGGGGAAAAAACGTAGGGGCGAGCGCGACAGTGGGTGGAAAAAGAGGCTTGAGAAATAGAGTTTGGTTTCGGGAAAAAAGCGGCAGGTGACAACAGGGTGGGGACAGAATGTGTCGTAAAAAAGTCGGTCAACCACAGAGACCGCGAGACATCAGGAAAGATAAGCGGGCCGGGCGTGGAGCGGTGCGAAAAGATGAGAGAGTTTTCGGGCTGAAAAGGAAGAGCAATTGAGTCATTGCAGCGGCGCGCATTAGGAAGTAAAAAACGAGCGCGGCACGCTTCCTTTTTTCTCGATGGCGCCCGAAGCGCGGCGGCTTTTTTGTCCCTGATGGGCTGTAAAATGTAGCCAAGGTCGGGAACTTACACCAAGGACGGGTTAATGGATTGGGAGGGTGAATCGGATTTTAAATTCAAAAGTCGTTCACCGGCGTCTCTCTCTCTCATGCGCTTCGGCTTACTCTAGTAATACTCTCTTGTTCATTGGAAAGCAGTTAGCTTCGCGCCAACCGCTAGTTCCTTCGCGCAGCTGTGAATCTTTAATTTTAATCCGATTCACTCTCTTCAATTTCATTCACCTCCGGTGAATGTGCTAGCAGCCTTCTTCGTCTTCCTCGTTTTCATTCTTTTTCCTCTTCCACTTTCTCTAACCACCAGTTAAGATTTGTCGAGCGCGCGTATCTATCTCGTGACCCGGTGAGAGGGCTGTGAAAAACGAGAGAGCCGCTGAGCTGAAAATCGACGCGCGACTTTTGTGAAAACGGTAACGACGGCGCGTTTGACAAATTTCGGCTTCCCAGCGTCTACAACGTGTTCCACTGCGACGCGCGAAGATTATCCTCGCCGAGTTTACGGGCGCGCGAGGAAACGGAGGGGGAATCTGTAAGGAAAACGATGCGTCACCTTGCACCCGGGTGGATTTTTCGGCGTCGGGCCGAGGGTGAGCGTTGGGCAACAGAAGGCAGCCACGTATGACGATGCGTTTTTCGCGGCGTGAACGACTCCCGATGGTGGGAGCGAAGGAGAGTCGACTGTTTAAATCGAGTGAGAAAATTCGTGTAATTACGGCCTGCCGTTGAAGGATACGCTCGGCGCGAAAGCCGGCAGCCAAGGACGCGACGTTTCTCGAGCAGCCGGCGACGGAGCCGCGGGGGAAAAAATGGATTTTTCGTATCTATCTAGAAAAGCAGAGGGAAAGAGAATTTTTATGCATTACTTACAAGAATGTTTGGCGAACCTTTCGTTGTGCTGCCGTAAAAGTTCCGTAAAAATCCACACCTTCCGAAAAATTCCACGCCTGTAATTAACCAAGAAAACTATTTCAGTAATATTGATCTATGATAAATAATAAATAATAATATAAAAATAATATAATATTGAGATGAGAGATGATCATAATCTATACTGAAAATAATGCTGTTATATCAACAGAATTTCCAACAGCATGTATAATTAGAGTAAATTTTCTCGATTCAACAGCAATCGTTGAATACTAATAATTTAATTATTGAAACGATATATAACATAATAGTTTTAATAATATGTACCGTTGAATTAAAAAGATTTATTCCAATTACACTGCTGTTGGAAATTTTATCGATTCAACAGCATTTTTTCCCCTGTATATATAATAGATATTTATAGTATATATTTGTTATAATATATAACTATATCTGATCCCAAGTTAACATGGCGTGCGTACCATTATCATCCCCCGAAAATCGTAGAAACTCTGCGCTTCACTCACTTTCGGCGCGCGACCAATGTGCGAGAAGAGATAAGGCCGCGAGAAATATTGAAATCTCGTAGGGTCTACCAAAGGACGAGTGGTGCGTTAGAAAAGAGCGCAAGATAGAGGCAGGAGACGGAGGTACGTGTAACTCCATTTCCTGCGACGTGTTCCGAGACGATCGGAGAGCGTTGCGAGAGAGTTTACGAGTGTGAGGAAAAACGCGGGATAAGAGGCACACACGCGCACAATGGCAACGTGTGGCGCGACTCGCAATTAATTATCACTATAATTATCGCCAACGTCAACGTGGATGCATACGCGGATCCATTATGCGGACGCGTGTGCGTGCGGGAGTGCGTGTGTACGAGAGAGTTCGGCTAGACACGAGCACATTGCATAAGCGATCGATCATGGGAACAGGTTTCACCTCAAGTTTGGCTCGGCTCCCGAAACCGGCAAAAATTGCATTCTATTCTCCAGACAAATCGATTAACAACATCGCGTCATAGTAGCTGCGTCGCCGCTCTTTTTTTCCTTCGCGCGAAATTTATGCACCGGTACTTGCAAACAACGAACATAAATAAGTGATTATTTTCCCTTCCTCGCGCACGCATTTCACCCGACCGGGTTATTTTCACCGTCGGGTATTCGCGCGGTGCAATTGATTCGCCTTCGTCGATCTGTTCGATCGAACAAGATTTTTGCCTGAAGAATGATGACAAGCTGGAGTACTTCTACTAAGTACAGAGGCCTCCGTGTATCGTTACTTAATTAACGTCCCTTTAATTATCAGGCGAAAGTTCGATATATCAGACAACGGATTTGTTCTTCTGCATTTTACTAGCCAACTATTAGACGAGCTCTCACGTGATCTCGCTACTGTATTCGTCTAGTTAAGAGTCGATTTACTTCGTTCTCCGCCCTTCTTATTACCAGACACATCTCGCGCGCCGGAGTGCATACGCAAAATGTAATAACGTTGGACAAGTTTCTTTCCTCGTACAAAGGAAGCAATCTACCCGGCAGAGCTGGTAAACAACGGATAATGACGGTAAGTATCGGACGATCGCGTACTATTATTCTGATTTATGGATGCCTTCGGACGGCTCGCTACCGATTGCACGATAATTACACGCGATCGACGCGATGCTCTAGAAACGCTCGGCAAAGACGTCGCAACGCGTATTTTCGAAGATAAGATTTTCATCGGCTCAACCCCGCAAAATAGACGGGTCGGTCCAGAGGTGGATCTGCCGAAGAGTGAGAGTGAGGAAGTGAGAGGGGGGCTGAGAGAGGGGGGGGGGAAGAGGAGAGGAAAGAGAGAGAACGGAGGACGCGATGTACCAGCTTAATTATCCCTCCGTGCCTCTCTCACGTACGCGCCTAGCCTCCATGCGCTCGGTCGCTCTACCGTTGCCGCCGCCGTCGTCGTCGTCGTCGTCGTCGCAGGGAGAGAAGCTGTTGAAGGTGGGGAGATCTACGGGTGCGAGCGAGACGGCGCGCTCGGCTTAGCCGGCGGCTTGGTGTGGAGGATAGCGGTGGTGGTGGGGATAGTGCACGCTCCGGCCGTTCCGAGGGCCGCTACGGCGGCGCAAAACATTCAGTCGGCAAAAAGTAGCCAAGGGGTGAGCATCACCCCGAGAGATAACACCGGGAGAGAGAGAGAACGAGCTCGGTCGCACGGAGCGGGAACGAGAGTGCCGCAGAAGTAAGTCGTCAGCGCGACGCGTATATACGGGCGCGCGCGCCGCGTAAACAAGACCGCGCGCGTGGTCTCTCCGAGGGGGTGTTGCCAGTGCGGACTGTCGCGAGTGCGTTTCCGAAGGAGATGAGCGGGACCGACGATCGATGAAGTACGGGGAGGCACCGCCACGATACTCGCGCCCCGTCCCGCCGTCGTCCTGCCGAAAGATCGGCGTTATGAGTCGCGAGATCGCGCCGTGGCGCGACGTCGTGCAAGGTCGCACCAGCTGAGACTTTCAAAGTGCGGGACACGTCAAGGTCGGCGTTTCTCCGCGCGTGTCCTGCGCCGCCGGACGCCTGCAATCGCCGCCGCGACGACGGAGACGATCGCGACGACCGCGATCACGATCGCGAGGGGGAGGAGGAGGAGGTGGAGACGACCCGTAGTAGTAGCGCCGCGCGAGAGCGCCGGCCGAGGGACCGAGCGCGATCGTGATGGAGGTGCGCGCGATGGAGTACCGTCCCGTGGTGCCCGCGGGGGTGATGCCCGCTGGACTCCATCATCAGGATTATCACACCGCTTTGCCGGACCTCAGCCCGCCGAGGAGCCAAGGCTCTTCCACCGGCGGCGCCTCTTCGCTCGGCGACTACGCGCCGCGAATGTACACGCCGCCCACGCCGCCCACGCCGCACGAGGACGAGAAGGTACGGGATATCTCGTGTTGTAGAACGCTCATCATCAGGTATTTATCCGAGAGAGGAACTAAGTTGTCGTCCGGCAATTCGAGGAGATTCATCCGAATTCAATTTTCTCAACACCTTGAGATCAATTCTCTTTTGGCCGGAGAGAGAGCGGGTTATAAGCCACTGGTTGCGCCGGAGCACTCGATTTATTTACATCACACTCGCGTCTCTTTAGCATTAAGAAGCGGAGCTTTCGCGCGCGAAATTACCGGCGCAATCGCCGTCCGATAAACTCTGTGGTTACGATACAATTGAACTAACTTTATGCCCGCGCGAGAACGCTCGCTATAGCCGAGACCGTTCGAAATAGAGCGAAAGGAGGTAACTTCGAGAGGGAAATAGAGTACGATTAATGTACGCCCCACACATACATACACGTTTACATGTGTACACACACATACGCATAGCGCAATTTATAGTTCCAGCATTAGATGGTCAATATGAGAACGATTTGTTTACTCTTCCTCCGTTTAACATTAAGTAGCGAAATTTGCGCACACAAGAGAGAGAGAGAAAGAGAGAGAATATCTTCTCATCGATCAGGTGCTAAAAGCTGAATAGCAGCGCGATGATATTACGATATAAATTTCATCCGTACGAAAAATCGAGCTAAAAATTATAGTTATTTGTAATTAATTCACGAAGCTCGCCTGTCCAATCTTGACGCGTTTGTGCAACCTCGCTAAAATGTTGCAATATCCTGCCGGAAGATCTTACGTACTCGAGAACGTTAACGGTACCGATATGTTGACTTTAACTTTACGAGATCGATGAAGAATTCGACATAAACGCGAAGAGGGCTTACGTAATCCATGTTTCGTATTCCCCGTAGGTGTATGAGATCGCTTTATAAAAATTGCGTTCTACGTAATTCCTCAAATAATCTGGCATCAGATCGACACTTCGTACAGTTTATTAATACTAAATCTTGTGAAAACGTATATCACGTCCACGAATAACAGGAATACGCTTGCGCGCGATTTCGAGAACCTCCGCGGCAAGTCCGCGAGCGGAATTCGATCCGATCTCCGAAATTAATTTCTACGATGCGCGCGCGCGCGCAAAAGTTGACCGTCGAGTCGCGACGAAGTTGCGCGAAAACGCAGAAATATAAAAGCGACGGCGCTCGAATCACGTCGTAGCTCATAACCACGCGGATAACGACGCGGAATGAAACCGCCGCGTCGTCCGACACTCGTCAATTTCTCGCTACAACGAGCGAATAGCCGCGCAATGAAACCGGCGTCGCTCGCGAATTTTCAACGGCGCGCTCATTGTTCGATATCGCGCGTATTCACGAAATTTTGCCGGACCTCCCGACGAAGTCGAGGACACGCGTAGCCGGCGCTACCGAGAGTCGACGAAAGGATCCGTCTCGTTCAAGCGAACTCTGCGTGAAATCGCGTCGCACCGAGCGGAATCCACGTAGGAAACAATTTGCCGGAACAGAAAGTTGTTTGTTAACATAATGACAGCTGAAAGATTTGTTAAGAGTATTTATTTTTCATTGTGCTAAATAAATTTTATCGCTGTCGCAACAATATTTTGCTACAACAACAAAATTATTTTTTCCGCATAACAAATCTTCTTGCTGTCACTATATTAATAAACAATTTGCCGTTCCAGTAAAATTTCCTTCTATGAGAACGCGTTGTCGGTCATGTCGACGAATAATCGCGTCAAAATAACGGCGTTTTGCAACTGATTCGTTCGGAATATTTCTCTGCGTCGTGGGAAATTACTCCATCCCATCACACTGAGAAAAATCCCTTAGTTACCAGAACAAAAATTCTGTTACTTGAAGGATCTGTCGGGGAAACAGATTGGAGAGGGCTATTTTATGTTTTGTTCTTTCATGATCTCTTGGGGAAACAGATCGGAAAGTTATTGTTGCTAATCATTCATCATCATTGGTTATTTTAACAAACTTATCAAGTCAGTACAAGAGTGTTTGTTAGAACAACAAATTAAAAGTACAAATCACTCGCTCCCACTATGAGAGCGTTTATTATCTCATATCTACAAACCATTCATTGCGAGTACTATATTTTGCTAAAGTAACAAAAGTTCTTCTCTCACTGCAGTGCCGAAATCATTTCTACCCTCGCAGAATTGAGCACCATTAATGTGCTAATTTGTTGCTCTAATCCCGATTTTTATTGCTCCAATGGACAATCGCGATCATAATGTGAGACTGGCTTGACGTTAACTCCCCATTACGATCGCAATTTTCTATTAGACAATTCGAGCACAAAAATCGGGATTAGAGAGAATTAGCATATAAATAGCTGTAAATTTTTGCGACCGGTGTGGACCGCTCTGACGCCGGTTTGGGGAGAGGCAGCTTAACGGGGGTTGGGAAATTGCGAGCCGACAAATCTTCGGGCGATACGATTGTCGTTAGATCTGTCAAAACTGCGCTGTACGATATCGCAAAAGATGAAATGAGAAATCAACAAATCTCATTCGTAATTCTTTTTGAGGAACCTCAACTTATCGCGATTAATTCTCTGTTTCTTCTTTCGCGGCCGAAACAGGTCGCAAATGAAATGCTAATCGGAAATCTTGTACTAATAAACTTGAGATTACTGAATGAACCGGGGATCAAAGAGGAACGATCGTAGCAGAGGTGCGATGAAAACTATAAGTTGGGATGAGTTCACGGCAGTTAAATTAACAGCCTCTCTACGAATTACAGTTCGCGTTTCTCAATATTTATACGGAAAAAAAAAGGATAATTACCTAACTACGGACGATTATACGAATAATTACATATCGTTTGTGCTAAGATTTCCAGTAAACACTGTCGATTAAGATCGCGATGATAAATATTCATGACGCGAACTCCTCCTGATAATGTTGGGTCGTGAATGTGTTTTCAAAAAATAGCAGTTTCATCGTGAATCGCAAGGGTGCGTCTCACTGGAAGGAGCATTTTTAATTTCGCGCGGATACCGCTGTGCAACTTGATCAAATCCGAAATCCTTCGAGCCACTCAAATGATGCAACAGGATCGGGGGACACTCGTCGGTGAAGCGAGGCGACGGCCGAAGCCTTCGCGTTCTCGAGTCGTGTTTCGCCCGACTTGGCCGCGCATTGCATAACGCGCGTGCACAATTATATTTATGTTCAATAAAAAGAAACTGTCACGATAAAAGGTCGCCTTGAAGCGCGATATCCGCGAGCTTAGTGTTCGACTTAGAGCGTCGTAAAAGAAAAAAGCCAATCCACGCTCTTAACTACTTTCCTTCGATAAATTTCACAATATCCCGGCGAGTTGAGCGTCGCTCCTCGCGAGAGGATGACGGAGATCGAATTAGACATGCTTGTTCCTAAAACGCGCTCCTACAGCCGCGCGAAGATGTCTCCACGTATGTATGGGTATGGCAGAGATAGAGAGAGGGAGGGAGAGAGATCAAATTATCGCGCTGGAATCATGAATAAATGTAAATCGGCGTAATACGATCTCGGCTGGTCCTTTTCTCGCGAGTTTTCCTGCGGACTTGCGTAAGACTCACGGGTACTCGCTGTAGTAGAAAATAAAGCGTATTACGGAGACGCGTTCGTAACACATTTGGGAAATTCTACAAGTTCAGAGATCCATTATTAATTGAGGGAATAACAGAATGAACGAACTATTCGCGAGAGAAGTCGACGTTACGAGAAGCGATTTAAAATCGTAGTCTTTCCGTTTCGATTTATCACGACCCATATGTAGAAAAAAAAATGTAACCAATCGCTGATATCCCCCAGGTAAATCCTTCAAGCTTTTCGTTGAGAAGAAGTCTATTTCGAGTTGATCCGAAAATCCGCGAGTAAAAGAACGCGCGAGGGATGGGCCTTACACATATATATTGAATAAATGTACAAAAAAAAGGAATAAACGAAACGTAAGGTGATATATAAGTCGCGGGAAAATCAACATCGAACGATCCTGATCGGCACCCCCTCGCCGTAAGGACGCAGTTATGTCCCGGATAATCGCGCGACGGACGTGGGGGATTCCGTGGAAGAGAAGACGGCCGCCTGTCTTAAGGATGCTTTCACAGTGCGCAATTTTCCAGAAGCGTACGACAATGACGATGTCACAATAAGGGCTTCTTCGAGGCGCGCGATCCGCTGCAGAACGAAAAAGATAATCTGGCCGGGGTACAGAAATAAACGATACGATCGACTCCCCGTCTAACGTCTCTTTCTCTCTCCCGCACCCTCTCTTTCTTCATCGCTCCTCATCTTTCATTCGATAGTGGGGGTGAATCTTGAATGGCCGGTGAGGAAGGAGCGCGGATTGTAAAGGGACGACGGTAGGAAAGCGGGAAGTGGGAATTGGAGGGGGGTCGAAGGGAAACGGGTGACCCTCTATACTTTCTTTCGCATTCGACGCGTAATTCCATTTGTGCGTCACTGCGATTCTGAAACTTGACCTGTTAAAAAGTCTTTTCCTAGAGGCTCTTGTAGCGCGAGGCGCCTTGAAAACCTCGATTCTTATCAGTTTCGCAAAATTGACGAATTGCATGAAAAATGAACAAACAGAGCGCGGGGTTGGGTCCGATTTCATCTTCCTGGATACGTTGAAAATCTACCTTGCCATTAGAGAGTCGTGACGTTACAAATTCACGAGAGGAAGTCGAGCGGGACTTTAGTTTCGTAGTAAGCCTTTCGCCTTGCACACGTGTGTAAATTGGAATATTTGCCGTGTTAACGATTTATTGCCTCCTATTATTCTCTAAACTCTTTCATAGTTTTTGCTTACGTCGGTTGTTATACTTTTGACAGGCTTTGCCTGCCTAGCTACCTGACTGAAGCCTTCGGTCTAAGAATTTCCGGGAGCTTCGAATTTTTTTTTTATAACACTAACGCTGCGTCAATAATGTTGGGGAACAGCATGGGTGTCAGTTGCGACTAAATCTACGCGAGAAGTTCGATTTTGAAAGGATCGCGGTTCGTTTGAGATCTCTACT